CTGTTCCCCAGATTATCTGGGAACCTTATTCTCCCAATCTTTCCAGGATTATCTAAAACAATAATGCACTAAGTTCCTGGTCTAACTAGAGTGGAGATTTATCAATGAGCACCTTGGGCATATAGTTGAGACCTACGGAAGACTAGGCCTTGTCCATTGTCCGTACTATCCAAGTCCTTTAGCATGAGCTACATCATAAGACTAAGAGAAAAAACAAAACTGACTCAGCCACAACACAACAAAACCAAGACTGACAGGATCCAAAGGATATATCAGTAATTTAACTGTTTGTTAGAAATAAACACCTTTAAAACATACTTCAGACTCTACAATATACTGTCCAAAATTATAAGTATACAATAAAAAGTTATTAAATATTTGAAGAATCAAGACAATGTAAGCCAACCAAGAAAACAACAGTCAGTAGAAGACTCAGATGTTGGACTGTTGGACAATGACTTTAAACTGGCTATAAAAAATATAATCAAGAAAATAAAGGGAAAGATGGTGATAATAAATGAGAGATGGGCATTATCTGCAAAGAAGTAGGAACTACTAGAAGAAACCAAATGCAATGTAAAATCTGGAACTGGAAGTATACCTAAAATGAAACATAGAAAAGATTGCCCTAATAGTATGCTGGGACTACAGATGAAGGGTTAGTGTCTGACCTTGAAGGTAAATCTACAGAAATTATTTAATCTGCAGAAAAGAGAAGAGGCTGGGAAAAAATATGCAGAGCCTCTGTGACCTGTGTGAATCTCAAGGGGTTAACCTATGTATGATCGGAAGGCTCGAGCGAGAGAGGAGAGAGAAGGGGGCAGAAAATTATTAGAAGAAATCATGAACTCAAAGGTTCCAAATTAGGTGAAAAACTTCAATCACAGAACCTATACTCCCATAAAAACCTAAGCAGAAAAATGCAAATAAAACTACCCCTAAACACATTATCATTAAGTTGCTAAAAACCAAAGGGGAAAAACTAAAGTGACCAAACAGGGGTGGATGCATATTAGATATAGGTGGAACATAGTAGAAATAATGACAAAATAAAAAACGAAGGTAAGAAGGAAGGTAGGAAGCTGTCAATCAAGAAGTCTATATTCAGCATAAATATCCTTTACAAATGAGAGTGACTAAAGACATTTTGAAATAAACAAAAGCTGGAAGAGGTTGTAACTAGCAAACCTAAACTTTTGTGAAGAAATTTGTTCAGGCTGAAAAAGAACAAAATCAAATGAAAATCCAGGTCTAGTAAAGGAATTGAAGAGACGCAGAAATAGCAAGTATAGGGGTAAACATTTTTTTTAATTATCATTTTTTTCTTATCCTAATTACTTTAAAAGACAACTGCTATTTAAACACACACACACACACACACACACTGCCTGACAGAATATAACATTTGTAGATGTACATTTAAAAATAATAGTAGAAAGAAGAGAATGTATAAACGGAATTATACAGTTGTAAAGTTATTATATTTCACATGAACATAACAATATTTACACCTAGTTAATAGTGCACACTGTAATCCCGAGGAACCAAGAATCTTCATAATAAGCCTACTAGCAAGTGCCATTCATGTGTCTATTCTGATGTCTTTATTCAATGCCACCAGGTCTACGTCAGTAAAAGCAGGTTTTTAAAGTATAAAAATAATTGGAAGGTAAACAACTTTTTCTTAATTATCTGGCATGTAACACTTATAAACCTTAATTCATGTTATATCCTTGAATATTATTTCTTAAAACTAAATATTTGATGAGTTCTAACACCTAATAAAATCTTTAATTATATGTCTTGTAGGGTTGACTGTGATCTTCCCCCGGGAAAGCTGTGTGATTCGTTGTGTTTACCTTTGCCTTTGATACTTTGGGCCAACGTTTATTTATTCCACATGATTTTTGTTTATATATATATATCAATAAATATATATTTTTATTGATTTTTTTAGAGAGAGAGAGAGACATCTATGTGAGAGAGAAACATCGATCGGCTGCCTCCTGCATGCCCCTAATGGGGATCAAGTCCACAGCAAGGACATGTGTCCTGACCAGGAATCAAATCTTGGTTCATGGGATGATGCTCAATCTACTGAGCCACACCAGCTGAGATCCACATGTATTTTTGTATCAAGGCCACAAAATCCCAAAAAGGATATTTTAAATGTAAAATATTTGATGGCATATGTTGGTCATTAGAATAATTAGCTAGAATAATTAATTAACTATACTAAATAATATAGAGATTCTGTAGCAGAAAACACACTTTCAAAGGAGTAGTATACCTTCCTATACCCTTGCCATTTGGATCCAATCCACTATCCTTCAGATAGCTCCTACTCTACAAAGTATAGTCCTCAAATCTAACAATCTGAGTTGGTGACTCTCTACACATTGATTAATATCATATTGTTGCATTATACATATAATTTCATTGTTTCACAATCAATGCAAGTGACAATGTGGTGATTTTAAAGAAAATAAGAAAAAAACAACTAATATGATAGCACATAATTATTTGTTTCTTGAAGAAATCTCTAGCTTCAATTATTCAATTTTATTTTAATTATTTTTATTTATTGATTTTTAGAGAGAGAGGAAGGGAGAGGGAGGGAGATAGAAACACTGATGAGAGAGAACATTGACTGATTGTCTCCTACATGCCCACCGCCACACACACACTGGGGATCGGGCCGCCCACAACCTGGACATGTGTCCTGACCAGGAATCAAACTGGTAACCACTTGGTGCATGGGTCGATGCTCAACTACTGATCCACACCAGCCAGGCTCAATTTCATTTTAATGGAAATGAGAACATGAAACCTATGATGACCTTGCAGGTTTTTCTGTTGACAACGATTGCCTTCCCCTGAATAGTTTACCTTAGAAATGTGTCTCTGGACCAGATTTTGATTAGGAACTAAATGTACTGATGCATTAGTAAAAATAAAAGAAATAGAATTATGAAATGAGAGTATATTCAAACTACCTTCATTTAGACAAGAAAACAAAAATAGAATTTATCAAGAAATCTGAGCCTTGAGATCACATTCCTGGGTGCATTATTTAGCTCATTGTTTAAATGGATACAATGAACATAATTGACAGGATTCTTTTGAAAATGTGTTATTCTCCTTGGCTTCTAATCAGACCAGCCTGACTTCTGAGGCTGGCCTGTGACTTTTGAGCTTCATTTTGGACCACCTATTGCTTCCCCGTCTGCTCCGCCTGGGGTTCATCAGACTAGGTTTCTCTTTACTTACCACGAGCTGCGGTTTATCTCATTCATTCCAAGTCCCAGTCCAGCTCAAGAGGCTAAAATCCCAGCCTAAAGCAAACTCCATCACCCAGATGGAGAATTCTGTGATGGAGAATTTCCTTAGCTGTTTAAGGACTCTGAAATTTATCTTAGTGATAATAAGATAAACTGAAAGTTGTCTTAGTATGAAAATTGGAAGATCAAGGTAGTTTTTAAAGACAAAAACTGGGAGCAAAGTATGAGAAATGAAGTTGAACACAAGGTGAAATGATTGCAAGGTAATCAGACAACAGACAAGTTGTTCAGATGAAGACAGTGGAGAAGGCAAACCACTTTGGGTCAAAAAATACAGATTGTGCCCTGGCCGGTTTGGCTCAGTGGTTGGAGCGTTGGCCTGCGGACCAGAGAGTCCTGGGTTCAGTTCTTGCTAGGGGCACATACAAAAATAAAAAATACAGATTCTATTCCACGGCAACATTTAGAGATGTTGGACTACTTATCATCATGCATACCTAAGGGTTATGCTTTTTGTTGTAAGCTTCTGTTAAAACAGTATTAGCTTTGAATGAGAATCTAATGACAAATCTCTTTGAAATGTTATTTCAAATCCTTTTTGGAACATCTGCAGATTCTCAAAAGAAACTGCTCTGTTTTTTGTTTCCTATAAATGTTAGAAAAACTTGGTTTTCAAAATGTCTGCTGCAGGATGAACTTCTAGAAAATAAAGCGTAGAGGTTTCCTTTCCTTTCCTTTTAACCCAAATAGTCTATGTACATTTTTCAATATATTTTTCATCATCCTTGAATATTAACCCTAAGTGATGAATGGTGGGTGTGGAAGGAAGGGGACTGAAGAAATTCTGTGAATTTGGAAACAGTTCATTATGTTTACCCAATTTTGCAGAATGTCATTTTAAGTAAGTGCTGGCCTGGAGAAGGTTTTCATTGTTTTGAACCACAGGCTTTATATTACCTTAAAAAAGCTCTCAGCCACAAGTTGGATGCTTTTGGCAGCATTACAGACATAGCACCACCCGGCAGGGAGTGTGTTTGCTTCCTTGCTCATTTCTGGCAGGGAGAGGGATGCTGGACATCGAGAGGCAACAAGGAAGGCTGCCCAGCGCATCCACGCTGCTCCCCCGTCCCGCCGTGGGCCCTCTCCTTCTGGAACACACAGGTAAGTGCTGTGAGGTGCTGGGTCAAGTGCAGGGCCCTCGCTCGCGAGAGGCCATGAAGGTCAAGTGCAAGGAGTGAAGGTGCATGACAGATCTCAACTTCCGGAGCTCAGCTGGGCCTGTCTCGGGCCATGGGTTCTCATTTGATCCCAGAAATTGCTGAAAAGGTCCTTTATGTTTTATTATTATGTATATCTTTGTATATCACTTTGCAACATGCTTTTCTATAGACTATTAAAAAACATTAAAACAGCAATAGAATGTTCGCTTTTTACAAATCTGTGGCTAGTTATTAATCTGTTTCTTTCATATTTATAAACTAGAAAAACTTACAGCACTCTTTACTGCTGAAAATAAAATGTTATATAAAGTTTGGTTTTCAATATTAGTGTTTTAAAGTACTACAAATGGATACAATGTAGAAAATATTAGACAGTGAACTGTAACAGCACAGAGAACACATTTTCCTATAATATGGCAGCAGTCTCTAAATACAAAGCTGGTGCAACCAATTTGGTTTCTTAATGAATTTTTTATATCACAAATTTGTTTCCACTTAGATGTCAGAAACTGAGCTGGAAAAGATAAAAGTAAGAACAGCTGAGCATTTTGAAAATGATAAAAATAACATTTCTTGGTTGAAGGAAGGTAAGCTCTTTTGCTTTCAATTTTCTATCAATGTGAAAATAATGATTTTGTGTATAAGCAAGAGATAGGGTGGGAGTTGGAAAAATATCCCAGCAATTTAAATATTATTAGTTCTTCTGATTTTTAAAAATTTCTTCCCTCGGCCTGAGGGGTAGTTTGGAGATCATTCGCAGTGAAAAGCTCTTTGTATCCCTCTGTGGCCATTAACACAGATTGTTTTGCTGGGAGAGAATATACATTTTCAACTCAGACATATTATCTATGAGCTTCTTGTGCTGTAGAATGTTCTCCTTTAGCCAAGGAGACTAAATAATTTGAGGACAAATCTTTTTCAAATAAGTCCCAGAAAGGAAGGCTGTAGGAAGCAATGTCTGCAAATAGAATCCCCATTCACTGCAATTAGAGAAGCCACCTGCCCGGGGGATCGCTCAGCCACAGGCTCGTGGAAGGCAGTTGCTTGAAATACACACACAAATCGATACGTTCTCCTATGAGGAGTACAAATTTGTGCACTTTTAAAAATATGTATAAGCTCGTGATTATTTACTAGAAGGTTTGTTTCTAAAATCTTTTCATTGTATGAACATCTTAATGTTTCTTAAAGTAAACTGACTTGCTATTTTATAGAAATAGGTGTATCTTTTACACTATTTCATTAATTTATTATGTTGCAAAGAAACAGCTCATACGTAGCTGCCATTCCTCAGAATCGTACTATCGGGTCATGGGAGACTTCTCTGTGTATGTCAAGTAAATTCTACAACACCCAGACTAATAGTTATGACATCGACCGCACTGACAAAGTGTGTTGATTATGCTGAATCATCGTAGCAACCTGTGCTACAGGAATCGTCCCTAATTTTCAGATGAGAAAACAGAGTCACAAAGGGTTGAAATAAATGGCCTAAAACGACAATATTAGGAAGAGTGGCAGAGCTGGGATTTGATCCCAGAATGTGTGACTCCACAGCATATGAATTCAACCTTTATACAGTGTTTCAAAGGAAAGATGTTAAATTACTTGTCAGGGTATATGATCTGTGCTCAAAAGTTTTCCTCTGGTATTTAAATACACATTCTGCCTTCAAATACACCCCCCACCCACTCTTCTCTGTCCTGGCCTGCCTCTACCTTTATTTTTTTTAATGTTTACCTTTTTTTTTTTTAGATCATTCCTTCTACCCCATGCCCTAGTAATCAAAATTAATAGCTGGAGCTCATTTCTACTAGAGAGTCCATTTCAGGATAAAAGTTGGTGCAGACATTAAGTATTCTCAGAATCAGTTCCTTCAAAAAACTACAGGGAAAAAAATTCTCTAACTTCTCTTTATTAAAAGATTTTTAAATAGAACATTTTAAAAAACACTGTGAAGTAAAATACTGAACTTGGGTCAAAGATTTCCCTTTGTATTTCTTGTTAATTCCAAATCCATGCAGATGAATATGTTCTTTGCTATTGCTTATAGTGATGTTTAGATTACTTATTTTTGCTATAACTGTTCCATTCTACTGCCTCATATAGAAACAATGATGAGATTGATGGACCAGTCGATTGTTTACTGAAGTATTTTTTTTTTTAATTGTGTCCATTAAGTACAGTTTAGGCATTAAATTCTTGTCATCTATAAAATCAGATTTGCAGGTCACCTGCTTCATTCCATTTGGACACTTCAGTTAAGCTAGACTCAAATTACATTTACTATATTTCATAACAGGAAACTGAGCCAGATTCTAGGTAGAAACATCTTAATAGGGAATTATCGGAATGAGTTAGTTTTCAGACAGAAATCTCTTTTATTTGTGTAAAGAAAAAATATGTGTTGGTTCATTTATTTGTTTAAAGACAAACTGGCGCATCGAAAGGCAGAGCGTTCGAAGTTGGTTGGGTGCAATGTTAAATCTCAGCTCAGGTTTCCTAGCTGCGTTGTGGCTCTGGCTAGTGTTCAACCTCCCTGGGCCTCAGAGTCCTCAGCAGGGACCTTACACCTGCTTTATGTGATTACGGTCATGGCATTTCATTATCTCTGTGTGTTCCCCCTCTTTAAAGCATGATTCAAAATAATGTAGATATTTTTTTAGGTCCTCATTCACCTTTTGAACAGTTGCTAATAGTAAGAACACTCTATGTTTTTATAGTGTATTATACAAATTCTATCATTTGATCCCTACAGCTACTTGATACACAGTGGCATTGTCCCATTTTCTAGACTAAAAGGCTGAGGTTCAGATAGACTGGATCTTGCTCAAATTTGCAGAGCTGAATCCAGGTTTGCCAGTTCCAAATTTTATTCTTTGCCTTAAACCTCTTTATCACAGTGATGTTTCCAATGGTTATTAATCCACACCCGCCTTTAGAAAATAAAATAGATGGTTAAATTTGTTCAAATTTCTTTCATGAATAACAAAAGTAATTGCTTCTCATATCACAATGTCTCCTCCCTCTGCAACTCCAGCAGAATGCTCCCCACTGTTGAAATGTAGAGAATCACAATGCCTTACTTATTAGGGTTGAAGCAAACGCACTCCCTGAGCAATCTCCATGGAGCGCCGAGCACAGTGCCTGACCTCAGAGTGCGCATACGACCGATGACTTGCCAGCATCACTGCCCACCTGAGTGCTCATGTTCTCATTTTCATCTTCAAACATTCATTCAGTTTGTCCAATGCGATTCCACAATTATTAACCATGGAGATAAGGCATGAGAGAAGCAAAAAAAAATTTTTTTTTAAAGAAACACAGTCCTGCACTCAAGAGGTTTATTATCTTACTTGCTTGCTTTTGCCTGAAAGGTGAAGCCCTTATTCCCTCCACTTTCCCTCCAGGGGATCAGGGCCTGATGGTCTCAGCCCACAGCTGTAGCCACACCCACAGCTATTACCAACAATTAGGGTACACAGTGTTTGAGGAACACACTACAGATCTGAAATGCACTCATTGTAAACTTAATTGAATCTTACTGTATCGCCTCTCAAACCAGCAGGCAACCCTGTTGCCTTTAAATTCCACACATGTCAGACTTCAGATCTGTCGCATTCCTAGGTCCCAATCTAAGGAACTCAGGAGGACATGGGTGGAGCCCAGGAATAAATGCCTAAGAGTAAGACAGGTACTTCTGAAGGAAGACATCCAGGGATCAGACTCGGAGAAACCCTGTTTTAAGACGATCAGCGAAACAGAAAATGGTGTCGAAATATGTACCAGGCGAGACGAGTGTGCTGTGCAATGGGGGACCGCGGCAGTCAGACAGGCCAGTCTTCAAGGCGGTCACCGTCCATCTGCACAGGTGGACAGGAGGAGACACTGGGAGCAGTGGTCAGAGCCAGCAGGTGCCTGGCCAGCTGGCCAGCTGTGTGTGGTCTGACAGAATGAGGGCACAGGACCTGGAGGGCTGGGGCAGGGACCAAGGGAGTGAAGCATGCTTGGGGCACATACATTCACGACTAGTTTGAGAGTGGCAGGGGCAGGAGGAGGGAGGGGTAGGCAAGACAGAAACAGTTCAGTAACCCTGAGCGAGAAAACACATCCTGGATAAAAATCATAACAAGGAGAGGAGGAAAATAGGCCCAAATGTGAGGAGCTTTATGAAGGGAAAACTGATGTAACAGAGAAATCGGGGGAAATCACAGGTGGAATAAGACGGCAAGTGATACCCCGTTAAGCCGGAGCACTCTGGGAAGGCGCCCAGGGCTTCCCGCTCGCACCTCCCACGCGGGAAGAGCGGCGGCGGAGGGGGGCGGGCCAGGCGCGGCCTGTGTACTTGGAATCACAGCGGCACCAGGGCCTAACTGCAGTTTCCTACAGCCGCGCCCGGGGGTTCAGGGGAAGCTGGAAACCTGATTTCCACGTGAAATCTCCTCATTGCTAAAGGTTAAGTAATGATAACAGCAACGATCAAGCTCCATGCAGAAAAAATAGAACCAAGTTCTGTGACTGTCTCAGCCCGCAGGCTACCAGTTGGTAGCTTCTGTTCTAATACCTGGTGTCCCTAAACAAGCCTATTACAGTTTCCCCCAAAACCAGTTTTCCATAAAAATTGCTTCGTCGGCGTACACATACACACATTTATATGTATGTGCAAAATCAAGTCAATTATTTCATTTTAAAAAGGTGAAGTTAAGGCCACTGGAATGAAACTGGCCGACCTGTGGCTCCCTGTTTCAGGGAAGCATTCTCTTACGTCATAAAGAACAGGGAAGAACAATCCCAAGCTGCAGGTGTGCCTCAGTGTTTATAATTGTCTTAGCAGTGTTGATTCTGTCCAGTGACTGCTGAATTGGGGGTGGGAAAATTCATACGCAGGCAAGAGGTATGATTTTTTTAAAAATGAGAAGAGGGCTGGGAACAAGTTTTCTCTCACCTCCAAAAATGCCAGGAAGAAAAAAGCTTGGATGTTGAGAAATGTGTAGTCATTTTTAACTAAGTATAAGCAGTCACACAGTGACTACAGACCTTGGTGATTTCAAAGTTGTTAATTAAATATATTTTGGAGGAAACTCTCTAAATGTATTTAGTATTAACATGGAGAAGTTGTCACCAATGACTTGGCATCTTGAATACATTGGTTTTCATTTAATCAGAATAAATAAATATTAGAAATTAAGATACATGATATTCAAAAATAGCCTAGAGGTTCCAAAAGCCATATTTGAAAAATTATCTTCTTAATAATATGCAGAACTTCAAATCCATACTACAAGAATCTCATCTCATTCTGGACCATTATTTGCAAATGAGAAGGAGAAAGTGAGCAATTTCTACTGACATTCATAAATTCACTGAACTTTTCTTAATTCGAAATGAACAAAATGTCCTTCATTTGCTTAAACATAATTCCATACTATAAGCATTAAAACAATTCCAAAATATGTATTTTATTCAATTTCGCAACCATTTGATGAGGCTGCTCTAGAACTCATAGACAGCATGTTGGGCAAAGAAACAAAGATGGCAGACAGTGAAAATGCAGTTTCTGCCCCCACGGAACTCATCTATTTATAAT